CCTTGGGGCTGTGCTTCGCCAGCAGGTACACCTGCCGGACCAAACCCAGGACAAGCGTGTAGAACCAGCAAAGCACAGCCACACCACCCAGGCGCGCCAGCCCAGACTTAAACACGCCGCGCCCCGCAAGCACCGCCGTGTGCTCGTTGAAGCAGAAGCCAACGTGGAACGCGTGTGAAACCTGCTCGAGGCGCCAAACAAAGGCATCTTCCCGTGGCTTCGCCAAATCCGCCAACGTCTTGGACGAAAGCGCGTTTAGCACCAGCGACAAACGGGTGACCGCACGGTACGCGTCCGCCATCTTTGACAGGTTGCCCAGGGACGCGGCAAGGGAATCACAACCGGCATTTCGTACAGGGCCCTCCAGCGCCATCGGAAGGAACTGCACAATGGCCATGACCTTGTCACGGTTCCACGTGTCGGAGAGGTACGCGTGGGCACAGGCAGACATTGTCGGAGGTGTTGCTTGTTATTATCTCTTTGTGTGTATTTGTGTTGCTTCAGCTGCAAAGAAAGAAAGAGGGCGTCACCAGCGCCAAAAAAAAAAAAACGAATGCAGCTCGACGTGCTAGATGGACCACGACATTTCCGATATACAGGGGAGAGGTGGGTGGGGGGGGGAACGAAAACAACCACATAACGAGAAGCGGAGCCTTGGGTCAGGTGTACCTTCCACGCATGTGGGCACCACCGCCGTCACTCAGTCTCCTCGTGTTCCATGGGTGCCAGTAGGGGTCGTAGGTGCGGCCCTGACGCGCAGAAGCGAAGGGATGATACACGATGCGGGCCAGCGCGAGCCCCACGAGGGAGCTGACAGCCGCAAAACCAGCTACAGCCGCCGCCATTCCCCAAGGTGTCAGGAGGGAAGCGTGCAGGGCGGCGAACGCCCCCCCAGCGAAAAGTCCGCCGGAAGTTCCACAAACCCAAACGCTAACCCATGTGCGCTCCGGCACAGAGACATCCCCGGTGGCAATCGCTTGCGCAATGCTCGTCGCAGATGCACCGACAACAATGCCCACGGTGCCAGCCGCCGCCAGAAGAGCGCCCTTCACGATCGACGTACTGGCTTCGTGTAAGGCGATGCCTGCGAAGCCAACGCCATGGAGTTTCATATACACCTTGTCCATTGTACGATACAGGTACACCGAGCGCCCCACGCCGTGGAAGAAGCCCACGGTTGTCCCCACGCGAGCCAAGTAGGTCAAGCAAAGCAGTGGCTTATCTATGATCATGTCCAGCCAATGAATTCTGAGGGTTTCACGCACGTGCTCCTGGTCCCTAAGCCACTGACCGTAACGCCGATCCTCCTCGTAGTCGTACAGACGCAGCAGGCCCTGCCCCTGTTTTCTCTTCTGCTTTTCCCTCATTAACTGATCGGCAACTGTCATTTCCCTCCCGTACCTTCTCGCTATGCCATCGATGGACTCGGTATCCAAAAAGGCCACGCGAGCATCGCCCTTCCGTATAACAAGCTGCTGGCTTTTTGAGCGATCTATCAGCGAGGGGGACAATGCACCTTCCGCGTGGCCCTCGCCCTTTGTCTGCCCCAACAACACCGTCTGCGCGTCGGCGACATTTGGCAACGACGACACCGTTCCCTGGCTGGCGCCAACCCCAACACCGCCCCCCCGCCCTCCAGCAAACAGCCACATCGCCCACGTGCGGCCCAAGCGCCAAAACTCGCCCTGTCCCCTCCCCACCTGTGCAGCCGCTTCCTAATTATCCCGCCGGCGGCTGGCCACCGCCCCGCATTCGTCCCTCTTGGTTTTGCATCCATCACAGCGCGTCGAAGGAAAACAAACAAACAAAAACAATGGGGGCAGCAAGGAGAAGAGCAAGAAAAGCAGCCGAGGGGCACTGGAACAGCCATTCCCGCCGCCACACACCGCTGCATGGCCGGAACGATCCCCCACTCCCTCCCCGTGCCGACACTTGGAGAGAAAGCGCCCCCAATCGCTCGCAGCTGCGGTGCACCAGCATCCCATACATTACAACCACACGCAGAACGGGGGCTGAATAAGCGCCACGAAAACAGACAACAGCAAAACAAAAACCAGCTGTGGGACAGAGCAAAAAGCGAATGAAGAAGAATACAAGAACCATCTGGCCAATGTTTATGTGTATATACAAAACATGTCAAGAGAAGCCAAGGCAAAAATTATTTTCACTCCACAATCGTTTTCCTTATGCCTAATCCTTCATTGGCTTCTCTTTGGCTTGGTTCCACCGCTCCCTACCGGCACCCCCTTATTTTTCTCTCTCGAACACTTTCATTGCTTTGTTGTCAGCTCTGGCTCTCCTCAACCCCATCACCCACTTTTTCCTCCTTTAAGCAAACACAGTCACGGTGCCTTCCTTGATTCGCAGCTCTCAGGCAAAAGAGGGCACATGTAGCGAAAGGGCAACCGAAAACGCCTTTCATTGACTCAGTTAATGCACTAATGATCAGCCCCCGTAAACTTTTGCAAGAAACCTGGACAGCTGTCGTTCAATTGCCTGTATTCCTTGCAGCAAGACGTGCAGAACGTCACATGGTAGCAAGGAAGAAGGGCCTCAGTGGCCGGAGCTTGATAACAGATGCAGCAGGAGTCCTGCTCTCCATTCTGAGGGCTTGGGCGCCAACTATTACGGCGGTTGCTTCCTGCGCCAGAGGGTTCTCCCTTAGGAACATTTTTGGCCCCACAATTAGTATATAGCTGCGAGCAAAACAATGCCGAGCTGAATCCCTGTGAACGACACCATCTCCTCCGG